TACTCCGCTCCCCCAGGCCCCCCACGTACACCCTCCACTCCCCACGAGGACAGGTAACTGTAGTGCGGGTTAGCGTGGGTAGGCAATTTTTTGTAATTTACCATAAACGCGATTGAAAAAAAAAAGAAAAAAAGACATTCAGCGAGAGAACAAAATAACTAATTTGAGTTTAACAAAACTATGAAAAAATAAAAAAAACCCACAAAAAGGTTTAAATAATGGTATTAAAATATATCATAATCGATTAAAAAGGATTATTTTTCTTTCGTTAACACATTTTGAATATAATCGATTATAATCGACTATAAGCGATTAAATCGATTATATGGCGATTTTATTGCTTTAAAAATATTATCATTATAATCCATTTTCAATCGATAGAAATAGGTTTTTTGTTATAGAGACTGACAATGAAAATCCAATATAAGTGATTATTATTCATGAAACTTCAGTGCGGGTATTGTTCTGTAAAAATTCGGTTACTAGCTTTCAAGGTTTAAGGCAATGGAATTTGGGCTTAACTGATGTTCGTTGAGTGCGGTAGTTCTTCGACTGTTACACAACTCAAAAAATACTCCCAGTTTATTTTCATTACTATCATGCTACGACAAAGAACCGTCCGGAGCAGCCTGCCTGGGTCGAGGTTGTGGTTTTATGATCAGACAGTTGCAACGGATTTTTGATATGTCAAGACTGCCGCGACCAAAACTGGTTTTTTTTCAGACCGCCGCGCCTTTGCGGGTCGAGGCAATGTGTCCGCGACCGGCGCGACTGAAGAAAGTTCGCCCTGACCGGCGCGACCAAAGGAAAGGTAACCGCGACCGGTGCGACCGAAGGAAAATTAGTCGCGGCATGGCCGAAAAAGTAGGCAACCCCAAATATTGCTTATATTTGATATTGGGATCATGTGTAGGCTCTCGAATGGCGGTCCTGTATATCATGATCAAATACGCTGTTCTAGGTAACTGTTTATTAAAATTACATATATACTGTTTTTTTTTTGCTATTTGCAACTGTTTTATTGTTTTGCAAGCTAAAAACCCGATAAATTAAAAATTAAATCAAAATGGTTTCAGAGTTGAACTAACACCTAGTCATTTGTTGTTTCTGTTTATTTGATGACTGTTCTTTAAAAATTTGGTGACTAATTTTTTGACTACGTGCTGACTAACTTTTGACAATGCCCTGACTAATTTTTCGACGGCCGCGACTAATTTTTCGACCATTCAGTGATTAATTTTTCGACCGCCGCAAGAAATGTTTTGACCGCCGCGACTTATTTATCGACCGCTGCGATTAATTTTTTGACCATTCCGCGACAAATTTTTCGACCGCGCCGACTAAGTTTTTGACCGCCGCAATTAATCTTTTGACCATGCCGCGACTAAATTTTTGACCACCGCGTTTAATACTTCGACCGCCGCGACAAATTTTTCGACCGGCGCGACTAATATTTTGACCACCGCGACTAATTTTTTGACCGCTGCGACTATTTTTTGACCATACCGCAACTAATTTTCTGATTGCCGCTTGTAACTTTTCGACCCGCGACTAATTTTCCGACCATGCCGCGACTATTTTTTTGACGGCCGCGACAAATTTTTCAACAAAGCCGCGACTAATTTTTTGACAGCCGCGACAAATTTTTCGACAAAGCCGCGACTAATTTTTTGATTGCCGCGACTGATTTTTCGACCGCCGGCACTAATTTTTCGATCGCCGCGACTAATTTTTTGACATCTGTGACTAAATTTTTGATCATTCGATTGAGATACGGTACTTCCAGAGTTTGTCCGCGACTTAAAACCTTGTCCAGACTATGGATTCGAACCGAGCGTTGCGCAATGTCGGGCTAACCCTCACCGATCAGAAAGAAACGGCATTACCTTGAGTGGCAATATTATTCGGAACTCTTATTGAGTAAACTTACGCGTGACAACTCCTTTTTCGGAACTAATATACATACATACATACATACATACATACATACATACATACATACATACATACATACATACATACATATATACATAGTACATAAGACATATGTACATACAAACATACATGCATACTAGTGGAATCCCTCATAAGCGGAGGACCGAATGCGCGAAAAAAAATCAGCCAATTAGAATTGCTTCTAGTTGAACACGGCAATTGATTCCTCTTAAAAATTGACTTTCGGCTCATTTTATTTTCAGTTTTTAACGACCGCGGCGACTATTTTTTTGACCATGCCGCGACTAATTTTTCGACCGCGCCGACTTAGTTTTTGACCGCCGCAATTATTCTTTCGACCATGCCGCGACTAAATTTTTGACCACCGCGTTTAATATTTCGACCGCCGCGACGAATTTTTCGACCGGCGCGACTAATATTTTGATTGCCGCGACTAATTTTTCGACCGCCGGCACTAATTTTTTGATCGCCGCGACTAATTTTTTGACATCTGTGACTAATTTTTTGATCATTCGATTGAGATACGGTACTTCCAGAGTTTGTTTGCGACTTAAAATCTTGTCCAGACTATGGATTCGAACCGGGCGTTGCACAATGTCGGGCTAACCCTCACCGATCAGAAAGAAACGGCATTACCTTGAGTGGCAATATTATTCGGAACTCTTATTGAGTAACCTTACGCGTGACAGCTCCTTTTTCGGAACTAATATACATACATACATACATACATATATACATAGTACATAAGACATATGTACATACAAACATACTAGTGGAATCCCTCATACGCGAAGGACCGAATGAGCGAAAAAAAATCAGCCAATTATTAGAATTGCTTCTAGTTGAACACAGCAATTGATTCCTTTTAAAAATTGACTTTCGGCTCATTTTATTTTCAGTTTTTAAAATTTGAAAAAAGTACCCATTTCAGTGACTTAGTTTTGATATTGGCGGAATACAAAAACGGCAGAAATTTTCAAAACTTTCAATTTGTCCTTGACCGGTGGCGAATTGGAACAAACTTGGTTTTTCAATGGTTTTATTATAAAAGAAGCAAGAAATTTCTTCCTTTATTTGCTCTGAGTTAAATACAGCAATTGATTCATTTTAAAAAAATGACTCTCGTCTAATTTTGTTTTTGGTCCTTTGCCCACGAGTTTTTCACCCATTCGGCCCTTCGCGCATGAAAATAGCTTCCTGCATACGAATTTACATACATACATACAAACATATATACAAACATACATGCATACATACATATAATCATACATACATACATTTATACATATATATACATATATATACACACACACACACATATATATATATAGTATATATATATATATATATATATATATATATATATATATGTGAGTGTGTGTGTGTTTGTGTGTGTGTGTGAGCGTGTGTGTATAAATGTATCTAGGTATGATATTATGTATGTATGCAGGAAACTTTGTATGTATGTATAGAGGCTATTTTTATGCGCGAAGGGCCGAATGGGCGAAAAACTTGTGGGCAAAAGAACCGAAAACAAAATTAGACGAAAGTCATTTTATAAAATGAATAAATTGCTGTGTTCAACAAAGAGAAAATAAAGGAAGAAATGTTTTGCTTCTTTCATAACAAAACCCTTGAAAAGCAAAATTTGTTCCAATTCGCCACCGGGTATATATATATATATATATATTATATATATAATATATATATATATAAACAAACATACATACATACATACATACATACATACATACATACATACATACAAACATACATACATATAAACATACATACATACATACAGACACACCTTTTTCTTAACCAGCACTAAGAAGACAATGATGTACGCACACTGCACACAAGTAAGTGAAATGACAATTTTTGTATCTATCAATCAGGACAAATGAAAAAGCAATATTTATCGACAAATTTTTTCAATTAAAATTGTACAAATTAACACTAAGCGGAAATAACTTTATATATAGATGTGGTTCTGGTCTTTATTTACGCCATATACATCATAAACAGTACAGATTCATAAATATTGTAAATATTACATAATTTCGTCTTCACTACAATAACCTTTGGCGGCGCAGTTCTGATAGTAAAACTGGCAACATTTTCTTCACGTATAATTTGGACAAATGAACACCGTCTCTGAAGACAGGAACCCCTTCAAAAATTGTCGGGAGTGTTACTCGCGTAGCATTGCTTCCAATAAACAGAGACGCCATGTCAATGTAATGAAATTTGGGATACTTTTGGGATAATTCTTGATAAAATGTTCGCAAAAAAGGAACACCACTCTCTTCTGAAATCGTGATCGGACATGCATTTGTGTAATTAGAGAGATCCTTGTGCTGGTTTTCTAGTTTTTTAATGCATGCTGTTGGGTTTTGTTCAGATGTCTGGTGTGTAATCAAAATAACAGGTGTAGTGAATGGAATCACTTTCTCGATCAATTTGGGAATTTCACTGCTAATCATCTCTTTCCACTTGTCCAAATTTGATTTTGCAGACATTGCTGTGCTGTTTTCAGTCACTTTTATTTCTGCTATGTGCAGTGCTCTTGCGAAGTAAATTGTGATGTTTGGTCTCTTGGCTAGAATATATTCCATACTCTTACCTGGAATTTGTTCATGGCTTTTTTGTAATTTTTTGGTATGTTGTTTATGTGACGCGTCCCAGTAATAAGTATGGAAGAAAGGTGAACCCGCATGGCAAAAAGATTTATAATCAGCTTTTATAGCGCACGTAGAGTGTAGTTCTTGGAACCAATCATTCCAAGGTAAGCAATATGAGTCACCTACAAGTAGAAAACTTTTATCATCCGCTAAATAGTCGCATAGATTTGGATGTTCTGGGTCTTGGTTGTTGATTTTTATTGTCTGGTTTTTATTTTCTTTCGTTATAAATGAAAAACTGATAGGTTCATCAAAAGAGTATCTCAAAATTTGGTTCAAAAGAAAAGGTTGAATAACTGTCAGTGTCAAAAAAACTAACAAAATTAGTTTCGATGAAAATTGACTACATAAATTTCTTACAGGTTCTTCGATTGATTTTTTTATCAAGAAAGACAGCGTGATTGTTGAAACTAAAATAGTGATTGGGCGTGATTGTTGAAACTAAAATAGTGATTGGCCTGAAAAACTCATCCTCTGGTAATAGAGAGTTTATATCTCCAATTTTGGTAAGAGGTAAATGTACAAGGTACATGGGATAGGACAGTTTACCCACGAAACAAAGAAAAGGATTGTGGTACACATAAGACTTAATGAAGTTATTTTCAGAAGATAGTTCTAGAAACAGTATCATTGCGAATGTCAGTAGAGATGTTCCAATTCCAAGAAACATGGGCGAGCCCTTCACCAAAGTAACCATACAGCATAGGCAAAATAAAGTTCCCAAGGATAAAAAATCAGCAAAGGTCTGATAATGTTTGTTTTGTAGTTTTTCGGCAAGAAAACCTGTTTTTGGAATCATCAGAATTGTTGCTGAAATTACAGAGCCCAAAATGAATTGATAGAGTCTTCCCCAGGTCGAAAAATAAGCCACCATGTGAGAACTAAAGAACAACTTGACGTTCAGAAAAATACAAAAAATCGAACAAGTGACGAACAATAGAAACAACAATGAAATGCGTTTTTTGCAAATGAATGTAATAACGATCAGAAGAATAGGAAAAACAGCGTAGAATTGCTCCTCGATTGAGAGGGACCAGAAATGGATAACAGGGCTCTGATCTGAACCCTCGTCTGTAAAATAGTCCAGTGCAATGTTCAGTCCGTGCCAGTTTTGGAAGTACAAAGCGGAAGCTATGAAAGACCGCTTGTGCATTTTGACGTATTTGGGAAGCTCGGTGAAGCGAAAAAGCAGAGCTGTGACGTTAAGAACGGTGGCGGACGCTGGAAACAGTCGAATGAAACGTCGGCAGTAGAATCTAAAAACAAACATGATTGTTGGTATTGTTTGTATATCATTGCAAAGCCCTGAATGTTCCAACGGCCCCTAATCGGTAATGAATATGGTTGATAAAGAAAAAATTCAAAAACCGGTAATTTTTAACTAAGCCAAGCGTGAAAATTTGAGTAGCACGAAAAGATTATGAACAATAAGTTTGACTCAATTTTCAATTTTGAACGTTTTTTTGAGCATGGTCAATCTTCAGAGCATGGTCAATTTGCTAATTTCTAAACCCCCAAACCTTTACAAAAAAAACTGAAGTTAAAATATCTTCCAACACTGGACCTCAGTCTTCAATAAGATTTGAAAAAAAAATGTATTTTGATCGCCAAAATTTGGCTGAAAAAAAACACGAATTTCGAATTTTTTCAGATTTTTTTTTGCTTCTCTGCACCTCCTTACAAAACATTGTAAAGTACATCATGATGTTTTTAGCGTCTGGAAACCTAGCAGTAATTCCATTTAGTTTGCGCAATTATAGCACAAAAAATAGCGCGCGTCAGGGACGGATCTAGGATTTTCTCGAGGGGGGGGCCCAAAAAATTGCGTTTTTTTTTCGGCGCGCGCTCCCCCTCCCCGCAAAATTAGTATTTTGTTGCGGCAAACCCCTTTAGAAAAATTTTGGGGTCCGTCACCAAAATTGGATATCTCAAAATAGTATAAAGGGGGACCCTTTGGGTTGTCAGGGGGTCAAATCTCTGAAGAATAAGGGGGGGTTCCGCTTCCCCCCTAAATCCGCTGGTGGCTCAATGTTTGAGTTTAGAAAATATTTGAGCCCGTTGGATTCTCAAACCCTTGAAAGACCTAATTTCATGAAATTCGCAAAAATGCTAATAGTCAGGTTCCAGCTTTCATTTTCCCGCCAATTTAACTACCAAAGTTCCAGATCAAATTTTCTTTTCTACGGCACTGAAATATCTGGTAGCAATAGTTTTTAATATCTAGAAACCATATCAGCAAGATAGTCTTTTCATAGAAATTTTCGTCGAAGTTATAGAAAATCGATAAAGTCTGTAAATGTCAAACAACGGTCACAAAAGTTTATAAATTCTTTGAAAAGCTGGAAATTAGTCTCAAAAAGTCCGCAGTGTGTATATTTTTAAAAAACTAAAAACGCAGACCAAAAAAAACTATCACTTAGATCCTTATTTTATGTTACTGAAACTCGTATTGCTTAATTTTGCAAAACACCGGATGCAAAAAACGGATGGTTCAAACTCTGTTGAGAACATAAAGCTTAAGTCAAAAAAGTGCCGGCGGTCGTGAACGTGCTACTACGATCGTGCCGGACGCAGTTAGTTTTCGTCGGTCGTGCCGGTCGTGGTTAATTGTTGTCAATGATGTCGGCTGTACTCAACTTCCGTCAGCCGTGCCGGTAGCGGTTATATTTGGTCATTCGTGTCTGTCGCGATTTATTTTAGTCGGTTGTGACAGTCGTGGTTAACTTTTGTCGGTCAAACCAATCGCGATTTTTCTTTGTCGGTCGTGCTGGTCCCGGTTATTTTTTTTGCATGCCGTGCTTGTTTCTTGGTTAAATTTTGTCGGTCGTGCCAGTTGCAGTTAATATTTAGTCGTATTGGTCAGGTTGAAATTTCTCGGGTGTGCCGAATGTGATTAATATTTGTCAGTCTTGCCAGTTACAATTCAATTTTTTTGGTCGCGTCGTCTGTTGTAAGTTTTGGTCCGTCGTGCCGCACGAGGTTAGCTTCTGATGGTCGTGCTGGTTGCCTGTTCACTTTTCTCGATCGTTCGGGTAGCCGGTTGATTGTTGCAGTTTCTACCGGTTGTGGTTACTTTTTATTTGTTGTGCCGGTCACGGTTGAATTTTTTTGGTCGTACTGATCGTGATTAATTTCGATCGTGAAGTCACTTATGATTAACGTCTTGCAGGTGGCGATTATAATTTTTGGTCGGTTGAACCCAAAAAATTTTGTCTTCGCGCTGAAAACCGGTTAAACTTGGTCGGCAAATTAGGTTTTGTCGATCGTGCCGGTGGAGATTACTCTTGCCGGTCATGCTGGTCGTGATTTACTTTTTTCTCGTGCATGTTAGGATTATCTTTTGGTCGTGCTGGTCCCAGTTATTTTATGTTTACCGCATCGGTCACCGGTTTTTATCAGTCGTACTGGTCGTAGTTATTTTTTGTCGACCGTGTCGGTCATGTTTGAGTTATGTCAATTTTGCCCGTCACGGTCATTCTTGTCGATTGTGCTTGTCGTGGTTAATTTTTGTCATTTGTGTCGGTCGCATTTCATTTCTGTCGATCGTGCCGGTCCTGTTTAGTCTTGCCGACCGTGCTGGTCGTAGTTAATTTTTGTCGCTCGTGTCGGGCGCGCTTAAGTTATGTCGATTTTGCTTATCGCCGCTATTCTTATCGATAGTGCTGGTCGTGGTTCACTTTTGACGGTGGTGCTTGTCGCCAATTGAGTTCCGTTGTTCGTGCTGGTCGCTGTTAACTTTGATAGTCGAGCCGGTGCTGGTTAATTTTTTCGATTGTACCAGTGACGGTTATTTTTTGTCCTTCAAACCGAACGCGGAAAATATTAGTGGCTTATGACGTTAATTCTCGTCGATCGCGCCGGTCGAGGTATACAGTGATGATTTAAATTATCCGGACAAAACGAACAAAACTTGAATTTTCAAACGCGTTTTTCTCAAATTGGTTTACGATTAGACAAAAAGTGAAGAGAACAAAAGTTGCTTAGATTTTCACCAGAATTAATATAGTGCTATTTTTTCTCCGAAACTCTCAACCAAAATTTTACCCCAAAAATGGGTCATTTTGGCTTTTTTCAATTAATCAAGAGTTACGCTGAAGTAACTTTGTTAATTGATAAGAACATTTTATCACAAGAAGTCCCTTACACATCCCAACAAAGTTTAAGAAGTGTTAAATCTCCAAAAAATATGCGCAAATTATTTAAGGTTCTGGGTCTTATATTGTAAAAATCACATTTATTGACTCTCAGGTAATTTTTTTTCTCTTATACTAAATTTTGTAGATTTAACCCTATTTAAACTTTGTTGGGCTCTGTAATAGCCTTCTTGTGATATAATTTCCTTATCAATCAACAAATTAGTTTCAGCGTAACTTTCGATTAATTGAAAAAAGCCAAAATGACCATTTTTTGGGGTTAAAATTTGGTTGAGAGTTTTGGAGAAAAATGGCACCATATTATTTCTGGTGAAATTTTAGGCAACTTTTCTCCTGTTCATTTTTTGTCTAGTCTTATTGCAATTTGAGAAAAATGCGTTTGAAATTTCAAGTTTTGTTCATTTTGTCCGGATAATTTAAATCAGCACTGTATTAACGTCAATCGTGTTGAGGGGAAGGATTTTTTTATCGTGCCGGCCGCGCTTAAATTTTTTGCTCGTGCCGTTTGCAGTAATTTTTGTCAGTCGTGCCTTTAATGGTTGATTTTCGTCGGTCTTGCCGGTCGCGATTGTTTTTTTGTTGTTCAAGTCGGCCGAGATTAACTTACATTACTCGTGCCGGTGTCGATTAGTTTTGGTTGGTAGCACCGGCCGCGTTTTTTTCGGTCATGCTGTTCGCCGTCCGTGTCTGTCGCGATTTACTTTAGTCAGTAGTGCCGTTAGATGTGAGCCTTTGCTGCTGGCAATTAAACTGATTCGGTAATATTTATAGGTCGTGCGGGCCACGATTAACTTTTGTCGGTCACGCTAGTTGAAGTAAACTAGCTTCAGTCGTGCCTGTAGCGAGTAACTTTTCTGGTTCGAGCCGGCCCCGCCCATGTTGTTTTGCTCCTTTCGGTCGGCCCCCATCTTTGTTTTTGTTGCTCCTGTCGGTCGTGATTAGTGTTAGTCAGTCATGCCGTTAGTGATTGACTTTTGTCGGACGTTTCAGTCGCGCTTTGTTTTTGTCGGTTGTGGCAGTCGGTTGTGGCAGCCGATCACCGTTTAATATTTGTTGATTGTTTCCAAGTAATTTATCATTCATGCTTGTCGCGTTTTTTTGTGGGCCAAGCTGGTCGAGGTTAACTTACGTCAGTCGTACCGGTGTCAATTATTTTTTTTTCGGTCGCACCGGCCGCGTTCATTTTTTTTGATCGTGTCAGTCGCGGTTATTGCTGTCTGACGTGCCGGTCATTGTTTTCTTCTGTCAATCGTGCAGGTCTTGATTTATTGTTGTCAGTTGTGCGGGGGAAATTAATTTTTATTGTTTTGCCGGTCCTTGTCGACAACTCTTGGTCGTGTCTGTCGCTGATAAGTTTTGTTAGTGGTGCTGGTGGCGGGTACGTTTTGTCGGTCGTCCAGGTGGCCTTAATTTTGTCGGTCGAGCAGATCTTGATTTAATTTTGTCAGTAGTGCTGGAACAATTAATTTTTCTTGTTCATACTCCAGTAATTTTGTCGGTGACGCCGGCGTTACCTAGGTTTTTGCTCGTGCCGTTCGTGGTTAATTCTTGTCAGTTGAGCCGTCAGCGGTTGACTTTTGTAGGTCGTTTCATTAGCGCTTAGCTTTCGTCGGTTGCGGCACTCGCGATTCAGTTTTATTGGTCGTGCCGATCACGGTTTAATTTTTGTTGACTTTTTCCAAGTAAATTATTTAGCATGCGGGTCGCGGTTTACTTTCGTCGGTCAACCCGGTCGTGGTTAACTTACGTCAGTCGTACCGGTGTCAATTAATTTATGTCGATTGCACCGACCGCGTTGATTTTTTTCGGTCGTGCGGTCACGGTTATTTTTTTTGTCTGAGGTGTCCTTTGTCAATTGCTATTTTTTTGTTGGTTTACTTTTGTCGATTGCCATTTTTTTGCCGGTTTACTTTTGTCGATTGCGGTGAAATTTTGATACTCGTGCCGGTCACGGTTGAGTTTTTCGGTGGTGCCGGTCTTGATCAGTTTTGGTCAGTCTTTCTGTTGGAGACTAACATTTGTAGGTCACTCCGGCCGCGTTAATTTGTAATGGTTATACCTGGCGGCAGTTAAGTTTTTGTTCGTGCCGGTGGTATTTAATGCGACAGTCGTGACAGTCGCGGTTAAGTTTTGTCGGTCGTGCCTTTTTTGTTCTGCAAATAAAAAACATTACGAGGCTAAACTGTGCATTTTGTGAATTGTAAGCGGACTCCCCAACAGGCAAAATGAGATTTGTCGCGGAATCCGCAACAATGCTATTTTTCCTTGATCCACGGACAAATAGCTAAAACACTGTATTGCTCGAAATCACTCCAAAAACAGGCAATTTTGCGGAATCCGCAACAAAATGTGTGGAATCTGGAACCAGTTTGTGAAATCAATGAACAAATGATATCATGTGTGTTTAGTAAACTTAATTTGTCGCGGAATCCGCAATTGTTGGTGGAATCTACAAATTGTAAGCGGAATCCGCAACTTGTGAGCGGAATCCGCATAAACTTGCGGAATCTACTTACGTTTGAGGAATCCGCTTACATTTGCGGAATCCGGAATAACTACCTATATTCGCTCGTTGCGGAATCCGCAACAAAATCAATGTGCCGACAAAATTTACGTTACAGTTATTTGTAAGCGGAATCCACTGAAATTTAATCAGAAACAAAAAAGAGCCACTAAATCAATCAGATCCATCTTTTTCAATCTTGTAATAGTTGGAATGGGGATATATATGGTTGGAGAGAGTCCAAATCTCGATACCTTGGCAAATCCAAGTGACCTGTCTCAATTATCTCCCGCAGCAGTATTGAAGTGATTAGAAACCCAGAGAGCACGAAGAACACATCCACTCCTAGCCACCCATTGTCCATATATGGCACATTACAGTGGAACAGAATAACGGCCATACATGCTAGCCCACGGATGGCGTCCAGATGTCTGCGGTACCCAAGTTTTTGTTCGGTTGTTTTCTTTTCTTCTTGCGTCATGTTTATATGCCAAATGGTCGAAAAACAATATACAATAAAGGCATCAGCAGCTTTCAATACAATTTTTTCTCAAGCAAGTAGAGCTTAGTTTTTCTTGGTTAACAGAAGCATGAACATGCAAACGTGTCATTGTTTTTAATGAGCTGTCAATGATACTTAGCACTCATTGTTTTTATGATATTGCATGTTTTAACCAAATTTTATAGTCCCCACACACAGCAGCAGCTTTTAATACTTTGTTTGTTGATGCCAGTAGATCTTAACTTTTTCCACCGACTAACAAAAAATGAAGAAATAAGGACTCTGAGTTAAATGAGCTGTAATTCACATCAGCAAGCTTAAAATTTCATTACATCTTAAAATAATTTAAAATGGCAAGTTGCAACAATAGCGTAAACCAAATCATCGCGAAAAACTCAAGCTGGAGGCACTCAAAAGATGAAATTCATATCTATCAGGCCAGCAATGTAATTCTATTATCACAATACGAGACATTTACTGTTTTAAATAGCGTGTGGGGGATAAAATGAAGAATCAATGAAAAAAATCTTTTTTTTTCTCAATTATATTGTCAGTTACTCACTTTCTACTCAATGAAATTGAGGAATATGTATGCTTGGCGTGCCAATTTTGTATTGTTTGTTAAGCGTTTTCGACGGAATGTTTTTATACCATCTGAGAAATTTTGTTATAATAAAAACGATATTTTACCTGTGATCTTTAAAAATTTAAAATTTTGGAAAACAAATTTCTTTTTTTTTAATTTAATTTTTTAATGTTATTACTGCTCCATAAACCTTAAAAGGAAGTCTGCTCATTCGAGGTTTTGCGCCTGATACGAGCAGTCTCGTCTTGATTTCTATTTGCAACATTTTTTTTGCGCCGAATAAAAACTCGTATTACGCTTATAGCATCTTTGATACAATCTACAAAGTTTTAAACGAGCAGTTTACGCAGACTTTAAAAGAATTTGAAATTCTCCAGGAAAATATAGGATTGGTTTCCACGCTACAATACCCTCACAGTAAATGATCTGATTAAAAATATTGCTTTCAAAACTCAATTAATTAAATTTCACAACAATTTATTTTATCAATAATATCTAATCAACGCGAATGTTAGGATTCCATCTTTATAAACTTCTTGTCATTTCTGCCAAATAATTGATGATTGTTCGTTGACCAAATTTACGCTTTTAAAGCACCATAACCCAACGTCACAGTTGAAGAAAAGTTTTAATCATTGGCTAAATTTTCTTTTACCCCGCCTCAAATAGTTCATTTTATAGTGCACCAAGTTGTTATACAAGGTGAAGTTTGAAAATTACACAGGAGCAGAAAACTTGATTAATCAGCGTGTCAATTTTATAACGACAGGGCATTCTGAAAAGCAGCAATAAACGTAATCTTTTGCAGAAGAAAAAGACTTGGCTTTGAGCTAAGACCATCAGTATCTTTCAGATGACAAAAACAAAACAAGTCTGCTTGTATCAACGCAAAGCCCTGAATGATCCGATTGCCCGTTATGGAGCAGTAATAACATGAAAAAAATTAAATATATTGAAGCAAAACGAACTTTTTTTTACATTTGAGATTTTTTGTGAAATTCATCCTCCACACGCCATTTAAAGTACAAAGTGATAAATTTTGCTCCTAGTAACAAATCAATTATGACAAATAAACTGCCTTCAACCAATTTGGAACAATTTCTAATACGTATTAAGTTTCCGCATACGGGTAATTAGCACGTTATATATCGCTCTTTAATTGTCCCAAATTGGCCAAAATGGCAATCTGTAAATCCCCATAAGTTTGTGAAAATTGATCACAGTTGAAACATCTTTTCAATTTGAAGCACAGGACAACAATTCTTACTGAATGATACCGTCGAAGTTTTTGTGAAAAATGGCTGGTTAAAAAGTCAAAAATTGTCCGACGAAAAAAACCACCCGTAGCACAAACGTTCCGTTACTTTTGTTACAAAAATCGGAACAATAAAATCAAAAATTGATAGTTGAAAAGATGAAAATTTTCAGAAAAAGTTCAACGCAGATTATAGGTTTCTTCTTCCAATATGAAAAGAAAATATGATCGAAAGACCTTTATAAGGGTTAACGCCCGCTATAACCCTGGCAGAAACCACAATGATAGTTTAAATACCTCTTACTAAAACTTTGTGAGACTAATATCTTTGATATATTTTAAACAGTCAAGGTTCGACTTCAATTTGCTGTTTACAACACCTATCAACCAACATTTCAAACTTCTCCCCCTCATTCAAAAACATCAAAAATTTTTTCAAAAGAATCACTTTTGATGATTCAATTGAACAATCATTTGATTGAGGAAACCAATTGTAATTTCGAATATAGTTTTTATTGAAATTATAATTGACTAACACTAAACCAAGTTGTGTAATGTCACTATTAAATTAGTCGAGCGTCTCGGTTTTTGACAGAGAAGATGATTTTTACAAAAACTAACCAGATAACCTCAAGAAATAGCGAGTGCCCAGATTAATGCAGGAAAAAACTGATAAATGAAGACAATTTGAACTAGTTAATAAAAATCCCAAAATTTTTGCTTTTGCAAAACAAAATCAATTTTCCAGAAAAGTTTGGACGGTGAAAATAGCGAGACTAATCAAAACAAAAACACGCACTAGTCATGTATTGTTTTTATATCATAATACAGCCGATGCCTGTTTGGTTTCGGAATATGTTTAGTTTTTCGTACAAACACGCAAAAGTCTCAAATATTTCAATGAAACAGTGATGAAAAAACAAAATTCTGTCTCTTCATTTCGAGTTTTTTTGTACACAAGTAATTGTGGCGGGATTTCATGATACACTTGAACAATAATTGAGTGTGTTTTTATTTATATTTCAATGCAAACTAGAGAAAAATACTGAAAACTGTCCCAAAAAAAATTATATGCGCGCTCTTTTGCCAATTAATTTTTTGAGGACAGTTTTTGTGAAATGAAATAAAAAAACTATATATCGTTTTAAAAAATATATATTCTAGTGAATCTTTGAAAGCAAATTTGTCTAGTCAACAAAATAGTTTTGCTCAAAAACATATTTTAGTCCTGAATGAGGGTAAATCATAGAAAACGCATGATTTTTAGGAAGGCTCGATAGCTTTTCATAGGTCGTTTGTGAATAGTAGAAACCAATGCTATTATGTTATTTACAAAAAACGATATTTTCAATTATATTTTTGGGCGTGTCAAATTTTTTAGAGCTATTTAAACCAGAGCGAGAAACTGCTCCGGCTAAAACGAGCGATGCATAACATTAAGATAAAATAATGCGTTTTCCAATATTTTTTTCAGGTTATAATAACGTTTTCCATAAACGTTTAAGTCAGCTTAGATTGGTAATTTTGTATGGAAAAATGTTTTCTGAGCTGAATTGAAAAAAGAAAAGTCTGATGTTTACTTTGCATGAAGCTTGTGGCTGACTCTTTAGAAACTTTGACACTGGTTTCCTTGTGCCTAATTGTTTGGATCGCTCAGCAAACTAGGAAGGAACTATGGGGTAGGGTTTTTATATTCTTTCAACCAACTTTTGTTTCCTCAAAAATGCGCTCTAGGGGCAAAGAATGGTATCATGTGAAAACCTTTGCAGCCGTAAAAATATTACAAGAAAATTTAAAAAATTGACTCATTTTTGAAAAAAAATTGGCCTGATTTTTTCAATCAATTTTTTTGGGATTTTTGGTTTCGTTTTGTTTCTTACTTTTTGGTTGGTTTTTATGGCTCCTTAATCAATTCAGTTGCATCCAAATAAGAAAAACCGAAAACCAGAGAAACTGGAAACGACAAATTTACACTGCAACCGAGGTTCCTTGTTTATTTAATAGATAGGGGAAATGCTAAGTATTTGGTAAATTTCTGTAATTTGTTTCATTACTGTAAAATAGTGGGTAAAAGTCTAATTTTTTGGAGCAACCTCAAATCTCCCCTCCCCTTCCTCAAAATTAGTGTAAATTGACGTCGAAGGCGCCTGTAGAAAAACTTCAGGGTCGATCGGCAAAAAATGGATGTCGGAAAGTGGTAGCAAAGGGAGATCATGTGGAGGGAAGGGGTCGAATCCCTGAAAGAGGGGAGGGGAGTAATCAGAATAATATTATTATAATTATTATTACCATTATTATTACTGTCTCAGATCCAATCGTTAACTGTTTTTTATTAATATCTTTAAAATAAGCATTATTTATTATGTTTGGTCAATTTAACCTCTTAAGAGTACTTCGACTGATTGGTTCTCCGCCTTGGTGCTCAAAACAAATTAGTTTAACATGATTCCCCGTTTGTTCGCCGCCAGAGATTAGAAGCATTGACTTCAGATTGGCATAAATGAAGTTGACAGTAAAATAACAATAGCAAATTTGATTAAAAATTCTACTCATTTTGCATAATTGACCATTTTGTAAAGAAAGAAAGAGTGAACGCACTTTTGATTGAAAAGATATCAGTGAATATTTTTTGCAAGTTTTTTTTGTTAAGCACATCAAACTCTTTCTTGTTTTTGGTCTTTTATTTTTTAAAACGAGTCCAAAACATGTACGAGTACATTGTAGCCGGAGTTTTGGTCATTTTTACTTATTTGTTCTGGAAAAAGTCCCGAACTTCCAAACTCCCACCTGGACCCATCTGTTTACCTGTGATTGGAAACCTGCATAATGTGTCGTTCGATTCTAATTTCACCTCTAAAATGCAGAACTTACACAAGAAACATGGTCCGATTATTTCACTCTCGTTTATCGGGCTGAATATCTGGGACGTGTGGATTGATTCGTATGAGATGATCCGAGAAGTGCTGCACGACTCCCGATTCGCGAACCGAACCATCTTCGGTCTTTTCGAGTTTCTCGGAAACGGGTTCGTTTTTTTTGATTGCATGATGTAAATAAAAAAAAAACAATATGTTGATCGTATTTTTGAGCGTAATAATATCATTATTAAAGCAAAAAGTTGTTTTTATCCATAGTAATTACTTTCGTTATCGTCTTTTTATTGTCAATACAAAAATTATTGTTCAAATAAAATAATTATATGACTATTTTTTGTATTGAAATCGTTATAAAGATGAATTTTAAAAGTATATCTCTTATTCTAATCTGCGTGTTTTAGCTACGGTGTGGCGTTCTCATCGGGGGAGGTGAGTCGGGCAAAGAGACGACTGGTGTTGACGACTCTGAGACACTTCGGGGTGGGGAAAACAGTGTTCGCACAGGGCATAGAGCAACAGATTGAGATGATGTTGCAGCACATTGAAACAAAGAGACGCGAAAATAGACCACTTTATCTCCAGGCTAGATTCAAACTACCCAAAATTATCTGCAGCCACCCCTCCCCTCCCCCCACATATAAACACAAACACACAACCATAAGCAGATACGATTATTTCTAACTAACTTTCCTAATTTTTACTAACTTTACAAATATTGTCTATCAAAACTAATGGATTTTTTCAATTTTTCTGCTTTGAAGATACTACGACTTTACCGTTTGGAAGATACCAATGTGAATGGCGCGATCACGACATGAAATAGAAAAATTCAAACGGGAAAAAACCGACTTTGCTTCTTTTTTTTTCATTTTTTTGATATCGTGCTTCTTGGACAGCAATCGAGTATCCTTGTAGTTTCTTTTAAGGGGGTGATGGCAATGACTACAAACAATGTGATCATGAAGCTGCTGTTCGACATTTCCAATGAGTTCGATGACCCCAACTTCGTCCAGTCTCATCTGAGACTGAACAGAGTGTTCTATTTGTTCAACCCCACCCTCCTTATATGGCTGCTACCCTACTGGATAAGCAGACACATGGCACAGGTTTGTTCACTCATATTTTTAGGGTGTTGATGTTAACATAACTTTTCGAGACTTTCCCATGAGTTTCCCCAGACTCCCCACCTCCTCCCCTCCCCCCCCCCCCCCCTGCCAAACCACCTAGCCCCAACAAATTATAGCCCTTCCACGTTTTGCCAAAATCACAGATAGGGAAGCTATGAAATGTTTTTTTTCTAGTTTTTAGGCGGGGGCTATAATGGAAAAGATTCAATTTTTTGACAGCGGGGGTATTTTTCAATTTCCGAGAAACATCTGCAAAATCATAGCAGCAAATCTCGACAGATAAAAAAATAATATAAAAAATTTAATTATTTGCATAATATTCTGCATAGACAGACAATTCTGTATTAAAAAAGATCAGAATCAGCTACGATGTTAATTGCGGTCATAGTTTTTAGTATGGCAACCCTTATGATATTTGTGGTGGTATATAAACCAGCCGAAAATTAAAACAGCCGAAATATCAACCAGCCAAAAAATACCTAGGTGTTATTGAATAGTTATGTAACAATTATGTAGGAGTTACAAAAAAAATGCAAATTCATTCATATGATGTAATTTTTCTGCTGGGCTTTTATACTCCGCGCATTTTCGGTTGGATTAAACTTCGGCTGGTTTATTTACTCTCGATATTTCTACCCTTATGTTTTCAGACTAAAGAGCTGAAAGAGCTGCGATTTGGTTTTATCAACGAGATGAAAGAATTCTTCGAGGCGCGGAAGCCGAAAGACGAGAAAGAGTTTCTGACCGAAGAACCGATCTGCGTTGCCGACTATATATGGCGCGACTTGATGCAATATAAAAATGAAGCGTACCCATTTCCAGAACACGATATCCCATTCATTCTCACTGATATGTTCATGGCCGGACAGGAGACCACAACTATGACCCTTTCATGGGCCATAATGCATATGATGTATCATCCAGATATCCAGGATAAAATCTACGAGGAGCTGAAAGCTGAGTTTCCAGATAAGTCACAAATAATACCTTTGAGTGGCTTGAACACCTGTGATTTCACGCGTGCGACAATTCAAGAGGTGCAGCGTGTCACACCCGTGCTTTTCAGCACAATCGATCACACAGCGAGTGAGACAGTCGAGGATTTTCACGGATTTCGAATCCCGAAAGGAACCCGAATGATGCCGAACCTGTCGCCCATGTATCACAACCCGAAATTGTGGAAGTTTCCTGATGATTTCAACCCCAAAAATTTCCTTGACGACGAAGGATAGTAGCGAAATTTAAGCTCACAAATTACAAAAAGTGTTCATTCCAGAAAAAGTATTCATTCTCCATTGAAAGAAAAGACATATCATTTTTTCAAGATAATTTTGCACTAATTAAGTTGGTTCTAGAAATTCTTGTAGATTTTCTGAAATCTTTGTTTTTCTTGCACATTTTATGGTTTTTGAGACCTTTTTGCCTTAAACTTTTAGTCAATTTTCAAAAAATCGTTGTTTTTTACACACTTTATGGTCTTTGAGAAATTTTTGCCTGCATTTTCTGCATCGGAAATTTTTCCAGAATAATTTGAAAATTAAAATTTTTTGGTGCTTTTTTTGGGATAATGCTGGCTTTCCATTACTGTGGTACAAATTAGTCGAGAACTATGAAATTTCAACCAGATGAAATTTAAATTTATGACTCTTAAGTGTCAGCTTAAATTTTGATTAACCTTCAGGTAAATTCGAGAAGAACATGTACCTGATGCCGTTCTCAGTGGGAACCAGAGCTTGTCCGGGCGAAAACATTGCCAAGATGGAACTGTTTCTGGTATTCGCTAACATATTAAGGAGGTACAAAGTCACCCCTGCGGGGGGAAAGCTACCAAATATGGCGCCACATGTTGGATTTGTGAACGAACCGGAATACTATGAAGTGAATGTGGAACCACGCGATTGAACGTGAAACATAAAGGATGTAAAATCCAGAAGAATTGAACTCAATTAAATTGCATTATTTACTCAGAGTTTTGACCACTTTTAGATTTTGTACCAGAAAACTCAGAGTAACATTGGTTTGTATTGAAAACAGATAGTCGAATAACTGCTTTTTCGAAAATTAAATTATTAAAATCTTGGTAAGCAATGAAACTGTTGAGCAATACATTTATTGTTCCGAATATAAATCAACACCATTACATCATAACTCGGCTGAAACATTTTGAAAGTTAAAACAAGGATAGCCGGTTGATGTGCAAGTAGCACATATTATTCTGATAATATTCTGGAAAAAACTACAACATTTTTTTCAAAAAAGCGTAATTTTTTGTCCGTGGCACGACAAAATGATGTATCCAAAATACTAGAACCTAGGTATATGCAACACTCATGATAAAGATTGATCTTCATTTTTGTCGAAAACAGTTTTTTGAATTATGATTGAACGATTTTTAATCGGATATATCATTTGACCAATACAGAAGATTATTTGTGGTACCTGATGGTACCTAATTTGGCCCCACTTTGGATTCGTGAACAAACCGAAATTGTATTTAAGGAATACGACCTCAGGTAAATGAACGACGTGGACTTGGAATATCAAAAAATCAACTTGAAATCAATTTAACTACATTCTAAACCGGAATTAAATCAGAGTAACGTTGATTTGTATTCAAAGCGGATAGTCGAAGACCTATTTTTGAAAATTGAATTAATTAAGCATTAGTTCATTTTAAAAGTGATGAAATTGTGTTGGAGTACACTTATTGTTCCAAAATTAAATCAACACAGGAAATCGGCTAGTCATTTTGAAAGCTAAAACAAGGATACCCGATTGATGTGCGAGGTTTTAATATGGTATGTCACTCGACCCATTCCAATGATAAATTTTGGTACCTCATCTTGCGTAGAAAACCAGAAAATGGAAGCACGCTCGAATACAATGTTCTTCCCATGTTCAATGTTCGGAACAACAAGACTGCTCGCTCAACAAGGCAAAAACGTGAATGCTAAATGAAATAGAATGGCTTTTGATAAAGAAAAAACCACAATTTTTAGTCAGTACTATACATCAAGTAAAAAAAATTGAGTCGTACAAAACCAATAAGACCAATAAAATTTCATCAAATGAATTTGAAAAGAGTTTGTTATACCGGAAATTTTGCCACCCATAAATAGTTGCCATTTTACCATCATAAAACAAATTTTCGCGGCAAGCAAATTTTAGTCCAGAGCTTGGCGAGGAAAGAAAATTCAAATGGCCAGAATTTTACAACAAATAGGGGGAGATAAATTTTTTTGTTTGAACTCGGGCAATGAATACAACTTTTTTTTGTTATGCACTATTTTTTCGATCGCCAAAATTTGACTGTCCGCAAAAAAATCAAGCATAAGCCCAGGCATAAGTCTTCCGCATTTTCGTCAAAAGTAGGAACACATATTTGGAAAACTTTGTTACGACTTTTGTTGTTTGAGGTGTTTTCAAATAAAAAACTCGCATCATAAACTGCTGAACAATCGTTTGAAAAGAGATAAAAAGAGTAAAGAGATTTTCCATGAGTAAAGATATACACAAGAAACAGAAAAGAAAAAAAATTTAACTCATTTTAAAAAGAGCAATACAAAATATGTGACACAACTACAGCATAGTTGTTGATAAGTTTATTCAAAAATGTTCCACGGCGGTCTACAATTAGGAGATAAAAAATTATTATAGATTTCTCTTATCAAGGCAAACTTTTGAATGTTTTAATTTCACTTTCAGGTGTTTTGACTACTTTTTTGTTTCCAAATAAAGTGATAATAAAATTATCAAAATGAAAAAAAGGAAACATAATAAATTATTTTCAAAAACATTCATCAACATCCATTAAAAGTCACAAAATGATACGATTTGCATAAACCCACACATTTATTGGATCAACAAGCGTAGCCCGATGCATTTTAAAATGATTTTTAGTCAGCTCAGTTTTCAATATCTGCTAAGAGTGAATAGAAAACTGGAAATTCTTGCAAATTTGAGTCGTACGAAACCAATGGGTCCAATTAGATTACATCATATCAACTTGGAAGCATTTTGAAAGGATAATTTGCTACCCATAAATTGATCGCCTTACGCTCTCAGCATCAAAAAACAATTCTCAGCGGGCTCATAAATTAGTCCAGAGCTCAGCGAAATCAGAAACTTTAAATCTTCTGATCCTTACAAAAAAAGTAGAGATATAATTTTGAACTCAGCTAATTTACGCTTTCAGCATCATGAATTGAACCCTAACGCGCGCAGTATTTAGTCGAGAGGTTGGCAAAATTTGAAATTTCAAACCCCCAGAACGATACAAAAATGGAGTGAGATATAATTACAAAAAAGCTCAAAAAAGATTAAATACAAAAAAGCTCAAAAACTATCTTTTTTATTAATGTTTTATCTACCGTTTTAGGTCGCTTGGTTTTATATATTCAGCTTATACCAGAAACGACTTTGCAATAGCTTTTAGCTTCAAGAACCACGAAGACACGTTGTTCGAGCAAAACTGATATAGGATTACCAAGAAGGCATTTCAATTGATTTTTGTTAGCTCGCTAAAATTCAAAAAGCTTCGAGGAAAAACGTTCTAATGGTTTGTTCATTCGCTTAAACTAAACCAAAATCAAATTTTTAACATGACAATTTTTCCAGGAGGGCAGCGATTATTTACTTTCGTTAAAATTTCTCAATATAACTCTTAAGTTGTTAATCACCGCTGGATATCATCAAAAAACTTGAAAAATTCAAAAATTTGTCGATTAAAACAATATCAGAATTTTTTTCATTTTAATTTTTTTTTGCAAGCACGGCTGTGGTCAGAACAAGCTGTGCCACATGCGCAGTTACTTGTTTTTCTCAACATCAATCAAGTGTTAAAGGCGGGTTTCTCCTTTTCTAATATATTTATCATCTAAAATATCTGCTATCGAAAACGTAAATCCAATTTTCTAATGCAAATCATAATTGGCACATAAATACCTATGCAGATAAATGATTTTATTCTGGGGCTCAGTCCAAATGCCGAATACACAAAAATAGGAAAAAGCACACAAAAATAATGCGGTTGAACTTATGCAGGTCGAGCGATTTTTTTCAAACTATTTTTCAACTAAGACGCATGCGGAAATTAGGCCAAGTAAGCAAATATTGGCCTTCATACTTAACCCTGTAAAATCCTTCGTTGCTCCACAACATTGATGTTTATCTGAGTTGGAAGAGGGATTTTTTCTAAAGTTTTGATAGATGAGGACCAAAAAGGCTTTGATGTACGAATGCACTTTATTGATCGCTTATGAACTTGCTTTGAGGTAACGCAAATCGCGTGAAAAATTACCCAAAACTAAAAAATGACTTCCAATTCAAAGTTAATCAAATATTCGAGACTGACGCAGTTCTGGGAAAAAAAACACTTCAATATGAAAATCTAAGGACAACTGGAGTCCTGAAAGCATCAACAATTCATGAACCATGCAAAAGATTCCCCTCAAAAACGCACGTGCTTTCTTGGCTATTGATAAGAAATGAATGCGATCTTGTTTTCAAGCCACATAAAACCAAATTTTCAAGCATATTCAAACGCGCATTTTGTACGTACAGCTGATATATCTAGTTTTTTACATTGAAAATTACGTTCTCTTATTTAATTATAACATAAAAACTTTTATACATCAGAAAATAAAGTACACATTGCCTTGAAAACAATTTAAACCTCAGTCAAATATATGAAGTAAAATGGCTGCAAAAGTTTCGATTGAAAATCAAATCCAAGATCATTTATCCCGCAAAATTATAGCTATCAATTCAGACGCCGCGGACGCCAAACAAGAAACTGAGATTCCGCCTATTTTGATTGAACTTGCAGGGCTATTTTACAACCACAAAACGAGCTCCCATACTTCATTCGTTGTGGGAAAAATTTGGGAAAGTGAACTTATTCCAGCATGTATTACCTGTTTGAACTGTGACTATGCCAAAGTACAGGGAAGCTGGCAGGTGGCGGCAGATCTGGCACGATTTTTGCAGACTTTCTTCAGTGTTGCCATTCATCATGCAACGGAAAGCCAGTTAAAAGGGATTTTTTCCAAGTTTCATTTTAATTTATGAAAAACGATTTACGTTGCAAACAAAAAAAAGGCTAGCCGGTTGCTGTGCAAGTAGCACAGAATGTTCCGAACATATGCTCAAAAAATTACAAACCATTTTTTTATATAATTCAAAAATTGTGTTCAATTCTTTTGTGTGTCGTGTGATGAAAAATTCTGACCAACAGATTAGATTTCAGGCAATTTTTCTTTCATTTCTTTTTCATTTCAAAAAAAATGTTAAGTGCTCTTTTTTTCAGTTCTCCTCTCTATGGAATTCTATTTAGAGTGATTTTCCATTTGATGAACTGTATTAAAAGGTGTCAAGCGGACCAAGTGAACAAGTTATTACAACCTTTCTGACATGAAAAAATCTTGAACGTGTCAAAATTTTCTGAACGATTCTTTTTTGAAGTCTTACGAGGGGGTGGGAAACTAAATTTATTGTTATTGTTTGTGGTACCTGATTTTGCGTAGAAAACAAAAACGAAAAAAAATCAAAAACACATCTGAATATAAAGTTCCGGCTCTTTTCCAGTTTCCCCCTCCCCCCTTTCAAACTCAAATTTGAAAAGTCTATTTAACGTTGTCATAATGCAATGAAATTTGGTGTGGTGAACAAATCGACAATTTTGAACAGATTTGTTCTTCATACATTACAGCGTAACATCACGCATTTAGCCGTAATAGCACGTAAAACAAACATAAAACTCGGTATTTTGAAAGGGGGAACTGGAAAAGAGCCAAAGTTCCTCACCATATTTAATCGTTGGAACGACGAAGCATAGATTGATTCCCAATTTCAATGACCCGACTTGCGGCGCTGTCATATCGAAAACTGAGCTATAACATCGAGACTAGTTAAGCCTATTTAATCAATCTTCCTGTTAGGCTTCTAGATTCTCAGCAACGAACCCTTAAAAAATCACGGAAAATATTCCTTCCCCCATAGAAATGAATGAAGAGTTGATTCCTAGTCTGATCAACAACTGTGTGTTGTTGTGTCGGAGAATACAGACTAGGTATGAGATGATAGCACTGAGTGTGTCACCACAGAAGCAGATGTTCATGTCTGCTTTCAAATCCGTCATCGACACCCTCGAAAAGGTCAGTGCATGCAATTGGGAGTAAGAGACTCAATAATAACTCTGAAGTTCACTTTATTTTGCCCCCGCCTCGCAATTGAAAACTTCTGTTTCCATAGTTTTTTTCGTGCAATTCTGGCTTAACGCGTGATTGGCTCTTTTCCACTCCCACACAATTCAAATTTTATCCTTTTCTCAATTGATTCTAACACGTAATACAACTAGGAGAATGTAAAAATTGTCGGAGTAGGGCTCTTTTTCCTTCCCCCCCCCCCACCTGCAATTTTTTTTACTAGTAAAACTACTGTTCACATTGTCCGATCGTTATATTTGATCTTCATAATTATCCTTGTAACACCACTCGTTACACCCTAAAATTGATAGTCGTGTGAGGTGAGAGGGGGGGGGGGGGTTTGGGGAAGGAAAAAGAGTTTGGAGTAGAAAAGAGCCAATCAAATTGAAACCATTTTTCTGGTTAAGAAACTGGAAAAGAGCCGTTTTTTGCAGCTTGTCAGTAGGACTCCTTTCCTCTCACGGTGTGTGATTGAGAACTCGTACCTGCTGAAGATGTTGTTCAGCGAGGAGCCAGACAGTCTGTGTCTTGTGTTGGACTCAATATCCAGACTGGCAAACTACTGCGGACGAGAGGAATTTGCAAAGATACCAGAGGTATAATAAATATCTGGGTATTTCCCATAATAATAACCGCAATCATAATAACAATCAGGGGGGACGCCCGTTCCCCCCCCCCCCCCTCTTTAGGGATTCGACCACCTGCCGACCAATTGAGAAACCCATTTTGGCCGACCGACTCTAAAGTTTTTCTAAAAGCCTTCTTTGCCAATATATAATAACTTTGAGGGGGAGCACGCGTCAAAAAAACGGCGTTTTTGACTTAGTTTTTCAATTTTTTTTTTTTGAAAATCCGACCCCCTCGAGAAAATCCTAGATTCTCCCCTGACAACAATGGTAGTTAGAATAACAAAATAATAGCAATGATAGCAATATCCAAAATAACACCCATAATTCTTAATCGTAGATTTGCCAGGGTAGTTTTTGAGAAAATGATGTGTCAAACATTCATGGGTCCATTTTTCACAAATCGGTGTTATGTTTGAAAAATAACTATAAGTAAAAAGCGTCCAAAGCGTCCTAAAAATATTTTTAAAACTTAGACCAAATCCCATACATTTGATAATATTTTCTAAATCAAAGATGAATGATAATAATTATGATGTTTATTTTCAACACAATCATAAATATTTCTTTTCGAATATTAATATCTTTGGGATTAAGGATTCAATCGAGAGAATTCGTTGGGAAAAAAATCTGATAAATGATAACGCCCCAATTTTAATAGAAAAAACTTTATCCTTAGAAAAAGACTATTTTTAAGTTTTTGACCATTTTTGTGATTTGTTTTTGAAAAAATTCCCATGCAAATCTGCGATTAAAAAAAATCGAACGAATAAGCAGATTGTTGTTATCTTCTCTGCATAAGTGGCTACATTTTTTTCGCACTTTTCTCGATATCAACCTTTTCAGGCCTGGAATAAAAAATTAAATCAAAAAAGCTGGTTTTGGGTATCTTCCGTGAATAAGCAGCATTACAGTCTTAAGATATTGTTTGGAATTTTTGACCATTATTCAGAAGTTTTTGATGTTTACCAGAAAGAACCCAATAAATATAAGATTAAGGGCTCAGTCATAGAAATGTTTTGTGCAATTCGCAAGCGGCTTGGCTCTGGGCAAGCGGCTTGGCTCTATTAAAAAAGTTTTGGCCTTCAAAATATCCAGTTTTTTGGAAAATTTTGCCGTTTTTGGGAAAGTTCTTCATTAGTCTCAGAAATTACCCTGTCAAATCTGAAATTAAGCGTTTAATCGAAAAAAAAACAGGTTTTGACAATCTTTACTGCATAAAGGCTTTTGGCATGCTTCTGTAGAGAATTGTGTTTGAATGATAGGAAAAGTCAAGTTTTTGAATGTGGAAACAGTTTTTGGAAACTTTTTCACTTTTCTCTCAAGCAAGAAGTAGAACACTCTCCTCTAAATCATCGGCTCAACCGTTCTGTTAGTAGAGAAAAAAGGAAAAGTATTGCGCTGCACTGTAAACAGGAGTAAAAAAAACTAGCCAGAGGTAAAGGTTTGCCTTGATTTTGAATAAAAGAGCCACACAGTAAACACTAAGGAAGCTCAAAAAAATGAATATTTTCAACGACAGAGAGTGAGTCCAGGAAAACAAGACCTTTCGAAACGATAACCATTCGGAAAACCACAAGATATGCGACCCCAATAAAAACCACAAGATGTTTCTTGAAAACCGGCTGATCGAGTCCAATTTTTATTATGATTAGTCTACTAAGTATCACGGAAAAATGGAACCCATGGGGACCAATTATGAGTCCAACTTTTAAAAAACTGGGCTCACTCAGTCTTTTTTGTAAAAAACAAACAATTTCCTCGAATTGCTCGAACCTTTTCATTCTTCTTAAGACCTTTAAGCTACTTTTGTTCTACCAATTCTGAGATTTGCTGTTTGTTCTGGTGTAGTTAAACTAAAATTAGGAAACGGAAAACAGAGTGAGCCCAATTTCCTAACAATTTCGCTTATTCAGCTCCTTGTACCTAAGACTGGGCTTATTCCGCTCGTATAGTACAATTCGGCTCATTCATCCCCTGCAGGGGCTGATCTAGAATTTTCTCGAGGGGGGGGGGCTGATTTTCAAAAAAAATTCGAAAATTTTGTCGACCTTTTTTTTAAAGGTCGACCAAATTGATTTTCCGATTTCTGAGCTCTCCTAAAGCACTAAAAAGACTCTCGCGCTCTCCACTCAAAATTAGTATATATTGGCTCCAAAGGCGCCATTAGAAAAAATTTAGGGTCGGTCGGCCAAAAATCTATTTCTTAAAAAGTACCAAAGGGGGGACCCTTTGGGTCGGCAGGGGGTCGAATCCTTGAGGGAGGGGGGCGTGAATTCTACCCGCTAAATCCGCCCCTGATCCCCTGTTTGAACAATTGGGCTCATTCAACCCCTCCTGAGAAAATGGGGACCTGAGAATTGGGCCCACTCAGCTCGTTTTTTTTTCAAAATTGGGCTCAATTTGCACCATCTACAGAAAAAAGCGACCAAAATGGGGAACAAGTCTGATCCGGGTACTTTCAAGCTATTTAAGTTTCAATCAATTATCAAGCAAACATGATCTCATTTAGCAATATAACAGTAAGAATAGCTTAAAATTGTCACACTTTTAGGTCACTATATACGCTCTGTTGGATGAAATGGTGTACAAGCTGTCTGAGTTTGAGTCCCCAGTGCCAGTTGCAGCTGCTGTCACCCGGACCCTAGTAGAACTCACCCACGTATATCCCAGGGCAGGAGATGCCTTCTTCACCAGATATAAAGGTCAATATCCATTACTACTACTATTAATCACGAAATCATGAAGAAATTTCGTCCAATCAGAGCCCTTTAAACAGTCTGAAACTGAATTTTATCTAGGTCAATTCTAACTCTTTTCGCTTTTTGAACACTGAATTCTGATTGGCTGACATAATTTTCGTGCATCCGGTCTTTCGCACAAGGTTCCCCTGTTCATAACCAGCGTATTCATGTTGCGATTTTGAGACTTTTTTCTCAAGTCGCTTTGTCGTGACTTTGCGCGACTCAAAATTAGGCAAGTACAGCAGTAATTTTATAAAGCTAACACAACACCAAGTCAAGTTGGTTAAAGCTGCTAAATACAAACTATCCAAAATTAGCAATGGGGGCGGAAGCGAGGGCGTGGTCCGAGTGCCCGAAAACCAAAAGGTTTTCCCCGATACTAAATATGGGATTTGACGGTAACAAAAAACTATAAAACAAGGGACATATTTTTTATCCCATAATAAACTAAAAATTATAAATTATAATAAATTATATTAAATTATAAAATATAAATTATTAATTAAATAAACTATATAACCAAAACAAAGCCCATGGTTTCGCAGGGATGTATTTTACAAAATTTTACAAACTCAGATTGTACAAAAGAAAATTGTCATTATGATTTGAGTCGTACACGAGTTCCCGTTACACAAGATACATGGTTGTCAAAGTCACAGTTGTGTTCAATTTTTCTGATAAATTGGAGCAAAACTGATAGTATCAGGGTGAATTCTTGTTTTTCCGACCAATTTTTAAGACCTGTGAAGCAGTATTTGCCTTAGAAAACTGAAAAAAAAAAATTAAAAAAAACGAAAAAATCCAAAAAACTAAGTCCAAATAGCATGCCTCAATTCAGTTTGAAACAATCTTTTTTCTTATGAGGAGTTAAATTTTCGCTTAAGCGTTAAAAACTCGAATTGTATAGCACGTTAACTGTTCCAAAATGGCTAAATTAAAAAAATTGAAACCCCCGTAACTTTACAAATAAAGATCTCATGATTGAAATATACTTCGCGTATTGAAACTATCAAAATATTGTTTGAGCAGCCAAGCCCTCTGCATTTTAGTCTAGTTCAAGCATACTTGCTTAGCAACAAAAAAAAGTCCGGTTCGATACCTATACGCAGTCAGTTTCTGTGAAATTGGTCTGAAAAGAAATCCACCCCAGGAATATAAATTTCTCACTTTTTCGAAAGTCAGAACAAAAAAAATCCGCCAAAATTGGCTACTTAAAAATTCAAAATTTTCTGGCGAAAAAAACTACCCCGAAAACAAACAATCCGCCACTTTTTTGAAAATTGGTACCATGAAACATAAACTCGAAAGCTTTGATATAAATTGGTGGCGCAGCAGCCTGAGGTAGCAAAATACTCAAAAACATTAAAAGTTTTTATGTATGCAGTAGTTGATCCGACTTTTGTTGTTGATCCGACTTGTTGCTCAAAAAAGTAATGAAATTTGTAGACTGGAAGTGATTCTGTTTCTTAAATTTCTAAATTTTTGTAAACAGCCATTTTAGCAATGTTTATGGCCTTATTTGTGCGCCATGAAAGCAATTTTCTCTGACGATGAAAATTTAGTGCAAAATCCTCATTTGTGAAAAAAATTTCATTCTCAAAATTGGTTTAGCCAAATACTCTGGTCCATTAAATTTTCGATAAGACTCAAATGAAAACAATTACTAATTGATATTGGCTGATGCGAATAGAAAAACAATTAAAAATCAAAAATTTTAATTGATCAAGTTTTTTTGCTAAAATTTATTAGAGAAACGGCAAAGAGGAGTTGGATCATTCAAGTTTTTGTCCTGATGCAAGCAATCGTATAAGCATTTGTTGGGGGTGATTCCAATGCTATATTCCTTTACCAAATTGATTTTGCGTAATGTACCATTTAAGCTGAAAAGTTTGAGCCTTAGTTCTGAAAAATTGATTGTTCGTGTGATCAATTTTTCCATCACCTTGTTTTTAAAGGCAACTCGTTTTTTTGCGAAATGCGAATCTTTTCGTAAATTTTCTAGACTTTTTAATTTGACCATTTTATTTTCGCACCACTGCCCGAACAAAATAAAACCCCTATTTTGCCTCTTTGTGGCGTGTGCTCCCCTCCAAAATAATAATGTATTGGCGCCAAAGGCGCCTTTAGAAAATCTTTTATCACCAAAAACTGATGTCATGAAATAATACCAAAGGGGGTCCTTTGGTTGGTGAGGAGATCGAATCCCTGAGAAAGGAGGCGTCTGCCTACATTTCAATTTATTACTGGCTCATTTTCCTTTATCCATAGTATCAAAAAGGCTGTTCGAAACACTTTTGTTTTTTATAAGCATTTGTTTTCTCCAAAATTGCAGCGCGAATTTCTATGATTATTCAGATCTCTGTAAGAATATATAAATGGCTTCTGTTTTTCCAGCTATATTGTTTGTTTTGAAGCACATCATTTTCAGTTTTCTTGGCACAATTCTGGTGACATTAAAAAACCTGAATTTAAATTAAATTAATAAAAGTGGAAAAGCAATTCAGTGACGTGTCGCTTATTGAAGAAGAATTTTATCTCTTGGAGCTGCCGGAAGATTGAAATTGGCATTTAAAATTGTACCATTTTCGCCAGCAGATTGTCTTAAAAATACCCCAAATTGATGCCATCTATAAAAAGGAAATGTCAAAACACGAGATGTCTCAGTTCATTAAAGCGATAGAGGTATATTTGGAACCAGTTTAAAACTAGTATTTATATCCAATTGTATTATTGATAAAGTTATCTCTTTAAAATATTTCTAACTAACCAATCATGATCCATAACTAGCACTTACAATTATTTGCAACGCTGAAACTGTTCATAGTTTCAGCAACAGAACAAAATAAATATAACTTAGAGGACAGTTGTTCTTCTTTGAGATAGTTCCTGATATCTAACTCGCAAATACCAGTATACTCTAGATCTTTTGAGACTAGGAGATATAAGAGTAAAATTAAGATCGGTATTAGACTTAGAAGTTGCACGAATCTATCCGGCCGAAAATAAGATAGCGTGAAGAATAGACGGTGTACCTTATCTGAAATTCTTCTATGAGTGAGCCATCCCCGACTTAAACTCACATTGATAAAGAAACTGCAAGTGTTTTGTCTGGATGAGAATTGTTGCTTCACTTCATTAAGAACAAAAAACCGTTAAATATTAATTCGAATGGTAGGATTTATTCGCAATAGTTTTTTCGAACATCATTCAAATTATTATTATTTTTTTTGTGTTTCTACAAAAAAATTGTTTTTGTCTTTTTGTAGGTATTCGGTTCATAATCACCAGATGGACTGGAAAGGGATTCGGCCAAGAGCAACAAAAACTGCTCAACTTCCTGGACTCCCAAATGAGACACATGAAGGAGATGGAGAGATTCCACCGGGCAGCTATGATCATTCAAAAGACGTATAGGGGATTCAAAGCGAGAGTCAAATTGTCAGAATTGAAACGAAGCAGAAAACAGGGCGAAGTGGAGGAGAAAGTAGAAAGTGAAAAGAAAGAACTGGATCGGAGGCGAGATTTAGAAGAGAAAGATCTGAAGCTTCAGATGCAGATGATGCGTCACAGGTAAAGACAACATACCAGATATTACAATTTTATGGAAAAAAACCTTGTTTTGACATCATTCGAAGATGTTTCTGTGATAAAAAAATAAAATTGCCATCATGTCGAAAAAATGAATTATTGTAAGCATTTCATACGTCAGCAACCTTCAATGGCTTCTATAGAACCATAAGTAGTGCGATATATGATTGTCCAGTGCACAGTTTGGCCTCGTAATGGTTCAATCTTTGAGTTTAAGAAATATTTGAGCCCGCGGGCTTCTCAAACCCCCGAAAGACCTTATTTCGTGAAATTCACGAAAGTGCTAATGGTCATGTTCCAGTTTCCATTTTCTCGCTAATTTTATCAAAATTCCTGATCAAGTTTTCTTTGTAACGGCACTGAAAAAAATGGTAGCGACAGCTTTTAATATCTAGAAAACATATCAGCGAGATAGTCTTTTCATATATTATCCAAAAGGAACTGTTGAAGTTCAAGAAGGACTAAAACGCAAATGAAGTGATCATTCAGTTGGCCGAAGTGTTTTCAGGCATCATCCCTTATTATACTGTGCAAAATCGAAATTGCTTCACCAAGGTTTTTGCCAATTTTTTCCTCAAATAAAGCATATGTTAAGAACTGAGATATCTTACAAGCTAAACCTTTGAAGTAAGTTTGAACATATTTCAGCACTTAATTTACTTTCGAAACTTTTCCAAATTTGAGTTTTCTTGTAAGCTTGAATAAAAGGATGCCCGAAACTAACCAGGAAAACCCAGTTTTGATCCAAAGATAAAAGTTTTTTTTTATTGCCTATCTTTCAGTCTTATTCAACTTATTGACTTCAAAAATTTGAGGATTTTCCAGAGCTATGAATTAATCAAGTTACTAAAGTAAGTTTCATGAAATAAATCAGGTACAACATAGGCCATTTTTACGTTATTTTTGTCCATTTTTTTAAACTCAATTTCCAGTCAAGTAGTTAAATTCTGTTGCTATCTATCAGATGAAGCACAAAAACTTGGCTCATCGAACTTTTGGTGTTGTGTTTTCAAGGTCACCCAGTATAACACTTCGACCAACTGAAAGATCACTTTTATGCGTTTTTTTGGTCTTCTGATTATAGCTAGGGATCCCTGAATGGTCCAAAGATAGTCCACCCTACTGCTAGTCTTACATTAGAACTGCTTAGCGCAGCGATTAACTTACTCGGTTTTGATTGGCTGCAAATTCCAACCTAGAACCAAGTCAACATCCCCCTCAAACAACTCAAGGGGGAGGATCCCTAACCTGACAATTTTTAAGGAACGTGAGACAGGTGCAAGAGGAGCGACTGTACTTGACTGAGAGGATGCGGGCAAAGGAGATTGACAAGTACCTGCAGCAGAGTGAGCAAGAGGCGGCTGTCAGGATTCAGAGTCAGTGGAGGGGGTACAAGAGCAAGCAGCAGTTCAACACTCAGCGACAGGGCATGAGGAGGTTGAAGGCCACCATTACTCTCCAAAGGTCAATAACCTTTCTCTCCTCTTTTTTTTGCTTTTTTTATTTTCAGATTTGGTTAGTTTTGTCTAATAACTGTCAATCATATAAAAAATAACTGAAGCTCAAATAGCTTGAGGTCAGTTTTTGATGCTACTTTCGAAATAAAATTGATTTAAAACTACTGTACTCGGAGTGGTTTTTTCTTTTAACAAATTTCGTTTGAATTTTTGAATAGCTACTTTTGAACTTGCTGCGCTTTTGAAAAAGTTCTCATCAAAGACTACTATAGACTTAAAGGAGCAGTCGTACCTTGTACTGCGTTTAAAATGCTTCAAATTAATCTGGATTTTTTTTAGTTCCTTCATAGATGAGTTCAACTCTGTTGGCCATGTTTTCAGTTCTAGCGGCACAAAGATTAGTTAATTTAACAAGTAGATGAAATTTTTCAAACGTTTTCATCTCGAACTCAAAGAAATATTCCCTATCTTTTTGCAAGTATCATGAACTGCATCCTCAGAATTCGTGTGTTTATTCGGAGGGCAAACAAAAGTTTTCTAAAAAAAATTACGGCTAGGTCGAATGCTAGCAATTTTTTTGGAGTTGGTGATGTTTGCAGTGAACCGCTGCCAGAGGCCTAATTAACCTGGATATTAACTTTGTAAGGTTAACTAATTTATGACAAACTAACATTAGCTCACCTTGTAAATTGAAGCTCTCTTACGATTTCGAATCCGCAATTTTTTGATTGCTAAAATCAATGCAGGAGCCACCCACACTGTGCCTCGATTTCTAAGTTTTTAGCTTTGAAAACTTAGTTTATCTCAATTTTCAGTGTTGTAGTATTGTGCAATTGGTTTCCATAGTGTCCATGTCATTTAAAGCGAATTGTAAAACACTTTGAGATTTCAGACTTACTCGACAATGGAAACCAAAACCTGATAAATTTTATATCGAAATTGCAGTTGTTTAATAAATATATACAAAAATTGTTTTTCAAAAGATTTTTTTTTCAACGAAAATTTTTTTCGCCTATCCTGTACATCGTTTTTAGAAAAAAAACTGTGCTGACTTTCAACATGTGAACTCTTTTTCTTTCTGTCCATAGATGGGCTCGTCGCTGTCTTGCCAAAGTGGACCAGAGGAGGATGTTGAGAGGGAAGAAGGTGTGGTCCGCAGACGGCATCTCAGAGTCCAGAAGGGCCGAATTACAACAGGTAGATAAGGGCTGCAATGCATGTCAAGAATTTTGCCGCATAAACCTCAGAACATTTTGCCCTTTTCAACAGATGAATCGATTCAATGATTGATACAATTTCCATACAAAATGTGTATAATGTTATTGAAAGTAGGGCAAAAAGCATTTTTTGTCAAACTTTTATGGCGATGAAATAAAACTGATGAAAAAAATAGTTGACAAAAATCCTTTGTCAAATTCTTTTTTTTAGAAAATTGAGGAGTTTCGAGAGCGACTGTATATTACTCCGAGAAGCAGAGCCGAGGATGAGATCCAGTTTAACAAAGCCCAAGACTTACTCAGACAACAGATCAAAATGAGCAGAGTGAGAGCCAAAGCCGATATTCGAAGAGACACTCTCGTCGCCAAAATGAAAGTGGACTCGCAATTGATACGAGAGGCACCCTCATTGGACGACGAACTAACCGATGACGTCATCAATCAGTACCTCAACCCATGCGCACCTGTGGCACTGAGTGCAAAAAACGCGCATTTAAATAGCTTGGCTAGCGAGAAGTTGCCATGGTATAAAAAGTTAGACTCAAATTCGCAACTAGATTTCGAAGACACTTATTCTATCCGCGCGAATATTGAGAGGCAAATTGATAAAATTGTAAAGTATTAAACGCAATAGGATATATATTATGTTGTTTTAAAATTCATTTTTCAAATGACAGCAAAGAGTCCTCAACAACTTACTCAGATTCTCTTCAGTTCTTGACTTTAAATTTCAGATAACTCAGACCTGTGAAAATGAAATTTTAAAAAAAATTATGCAGTAGGATAAATTGATTTTTATTTAGATTTCCTCAGACTGATAAAAGAATTAAAATTTGTCATTTCTACAACTAGAAGCATTTGTTCTCCGCAAGATTTTGATAAATTTTCCCAGAAAATATGATAATTAATTGAACTTCATCAAAGCTGAGACAGGCAATCACACTTCAAAAAATGAAAGTATGAGCTATTAGAAAAACGATATTTTTCGTTGATAATTACAATAATTTATTCTCAGTGATCTTACTATTTGGCCTTGGACAAAATTTTTTATGTGATTCCTTGTCTCATTTTTATCATAAATACTTTGATAACATATTATCAAATACTAGAAACCACTTCCTTATTTTTGCTCATAACAATATTCGTTGTGAACGGATTAAATTACGCGAATAAGAACAGAAGAAAAAAGAATTTTCAAATTTTTATAAATAAAAAAGTCAAAATTTTGCATCTGTCGAAAAATTGCCTTACAACAGAGAGCTTTTATCTCTTTTTATGTCTCATTAAAAAAAGATAGTCGGTTGCTGCACCAATTGCGCAGCATATTCCGACTATCTCGACTCAAATAAATAAAATGAAAAAAGAACAAAAAATAAAATCGATTTTTTTGTCATAAAATAGTACACTTTCTTCTATACAATTACTAAATTTGTGAAAATTGGTCTGAAAATCGAAAAAATGTAAGCTAAAATTTCCCAACTCTGAGACACTTTAACCAAAATTTTTGAATCCATGTTTCAGCAAAAAGTTTGAAATGATACCAGACTGGCCCCCAAAAAAATCATACTCACAAGTTCCCCCTTTTTTTGAGTGGGCTAATTTCTAAAGCATAAATCGTAACAGCAAGAAGATCATAAATTAATGTCCAGGGCAGCCAATGTTGTTTTAACCATTACTTTTAAAATCTTTATTGGACGTATTACATGCAAACTTGATACAAAAACTTTATTAATTGCATTTGCCTTTTTCATTGTTTTTTTTACCTTTTTCCAAAAACAATTTATTTAATTACTTGATAATCATGCATAAAATTTTCAAATTTCTAATCTTTCGATTGAATGCAGCCTAACTGGAGTAAAGAAGGAGTAAAAGAAGGAGTAGAAAGATTGCTCAATTTAACTTGTTTATAATTTTTGCGATTGATACCTTTCAGCCTAATTTTAAAATTCAACAGCAGTTTTTTAGGTTTAAAATCAAAATTTTTGTAATAAGTAGAACAACAAATTTCAGCATCGTTTGCAGAGCACAATTAGTTTCACATTTTAAAAAATGTATTCCGGATTACTCTCATAGGACATCTTAATTTTAGCCAGCAATTGACACGTAAGCGGAGAGGAGAGTTAATCCGTCTCAAAAGTTTTTCCTGACTAATTTGAGGCAAGCTTCTTGGTCTATTCATAACTTTGCTGTATGAAAAAATTATCATTTAATACTTTATTTAGCGTGTGTGAAAAAAATAGAAACATTCTTTTTTCAATTGTTATTACCTTTTTAAAAGCTAACGGTATTCCACAGAGCTTAAATAGCAGTCGGAACATTTAGGGCTTGCCCTCATAGGAGCAGTCTTGTTTTACTTTATTTTCGATTTACTGAAGTATTATAGCATGTGGTTATCAAAAAAAAACATTATCGAAATAAATGTTCGAATTAACTTGACTATCTGCTGGTATTCGAAAACTTCAAACTGTGTTTTATTTCAACTTTTGTATCCTAAATTTATACTGGTTTTGAGTGGAAAGTTTCTATTACAAACAAATTTCCTCGAAAGTTTATCATTTGTTGGTGGAAATTTCTTTGAGATGATGCAGTGTTTTGGTTTACGAAATGCAGTTTACGAAAAAGAGAAATTTTCCTAGCTTGTTCAAAGCCATTTTTTTGATTGGTTTCCTCGGAAGAAAAATTTTGGAAAAAAATTGAACAAAATGGACCTTTAGCTTGAATCAACATAAAATTTGATTTTATTGGCAACAAGAGGAGCAAAGTTTTTTGATAATTTTGGAGCTTGTTTGAAGAAAAAAGTGGCCTATTATTCTACAAAGCAATTTGTAAACAGCTCTCTTAGGATTTTTTTTCATAAGATGCCCCTAATTGATAGGCTGCCATTCGTTGAAAAACTTAATGCGTCTATTTTTGCTCTTTGTTAGTATCCTGTGTTATCCTGGTGTACTATTACTAGAAAAAACTCATTCTTTTTCCCTCGATTTAATTTTTTTGCGGCAGATGCGACCCTCTCACCAACCACCAAAGGGTCCACCTTTGGTAGTATTTTATGAGCCAATTTTTGGCTGACCATCCCTATAACTTTCTTAAGGCCCCTTTTGCGCAATTATTTACTAATTTTGAAGAAGAGCGCGCGGTTTTTAAAATGTTTAGAGAGCGCGTTCGCGTAAAATCAATTTGAGCCACCTGCGAAAAAAAAACACTTTCCTCAGGGATTCGACCTCCTCGCTAACCAAAGGGTCCCCTTTAATATTATTTTTTACATCCAAATTCGGTGACCAACCCTAAAATTAGCCAAATTTTGCCAAAAGAGGGTCTTTCTTTTGTTCTGAGAGCTGGAAAAACCAATTTAGTCGACCTAAAAGAAGTTGACAATTTTATCAAAATTTTCAGGTAATTATCCGCCCCTTTTCTAATCATTTACAGGAAGTAAAACAGCACTTATAGTTTTCCGACCCGACTTTTAGACTTTAGTTTCCTATTTTTTATCGTTTTTGGTTTAGTAGTAGACCATTGTTTTTGTTTTTATCAAGCTTTCTACAAAACGAATAATAATGTAATTGCGAAGTCATTTTAAATTGGATTCGACGAATGAGAGAAGTAGCACAATAACTTTTTTCTCGCGCAAACAAAAAATTTTCTTCTTGTGGGCTAATGGCTGTGTAAGGTTTCTTTTTCATAGTCACAATAATACCTAATACCCCGATTATGAAATTAATAAAAAAAGCTCTCACAAAAAAAAAACAATGAATGGAGCTTCCTTAAGACAAACGCATATCTGGTTAGTTTTTTGATTGAAAAATCTTCAAACTTCATGCAGAAAAACCTTTCGCTCACGATGTTAGTTTAAAAACAATGTCTATCAGGTACTGTTTGTACAAAACTTGTTATCACATACATTTACATTGAACAAGTTTGCAAGTGTAGGAAAAAAAACAAGAAAGAAACTTTTTATAGAAGATATAACTCAAAACTTGAAGATTTGGATTCAAGAAAAACCATCAAAATGATAAAAGAAAATTATTCAAAATCCATAGAGGGCACCTATTGGGCCCTATTTAAAAATTTTCCATATAGTTGAAACAATGATCTGAGTTTGAGTAAGTGCGTCGATTAACCACTCCGTGCAAAACATTGAAGTTGAATTGTTTGCTGTTTCAAGATTTTAACTACTGAACTAAGGAATGATGGATGATTTGCAGTTCGTTGAAAAACTAGTTGGGCAAAATGGAGTGATTGATTTTTGCAGCCAAAATAACCAAACAAACAGATTTTCGCTTTCCTTTTTGTTGTTTCGTTTTTGTTTAATAATTGGTCATTTTAAAAAAAAATTATACAAACTTTTGCCCAACAAAAAATTGAAACAAAAGTCATTTTGTTTTTGATAAGACGATTAAAAGGAGTAGCACAAGGACTTTTTTCTCCCGGAGACTCAAATTTTATTTCTTTTTGTCGGCTATTAGGCGGATAATGATTCTTCCTTTCAAGTAACGATAATACAATGATTATGAGTTTTAAAAAGCAACAATAATAAGGATTAAAAGGAATTTCTAAGAGACAAAAAAATTTCTTATTAAAATTTTGATTAAAAATCTTCAAACAATATTGAAAAAAACTTTTCTTTTGATGTTAATTAAAAAATGTTTATCTGGTTTTTTTTGTACAAAATTTGTTGTAGCACACTTTGAAAAAAAAATTGCATTTTAAAAAAATCATCATTAAAATTTTAAGAGATTCAATTTGTAACAATAGAATTTAGATTGAAGAAAGACCATCAAATTGACTCAATCAAAATCCATAGAGGATGCTTATTGGGTCATCATCTAGCGTCATCTTTATGACTGTTTTATAAAATTGAAACAATGACCTGAAATTGAGCATGTGTGTCAATTAACCAGCCCGTGCGAAACATTGAAGCTGACATATCTGCTTTTTCAAGATTTTACTACTAAACTAAAGAATTGTGGATAATTTGCAGTTTGCTGGAAAGTTAATTGGGCAAAATTGTATTTTACTACTCAATTAAAGATTTGTGGAAGATTTGCAATTCGCTGTAAAGTTAATTAGGCAAAATTGAATATTTTTTCATTTAATTTTGCAGAAAAATCTTTCTCCCACAAAATTAGATTTAAAACCGTGTCTAACTGGTACTGTTTGTTCAGATTTTGATGTTGCATACTTTTTTAAAAAGACTTGTAAAATTAGGAGAAAAAAAAACAACATTAAACATTTTCATGGAAATTCTAGTTTAGAACCCTTGAAATTTGGATTGCAGAAAGACCATCAAATTGATAAGAAAAACTCAATAAAAATTCACAAAGTGCACCTATTGGGTTGTAAACTTGCGTAATTTTTATGAGTTGAAACCATGCTCTGAGTTTGAGTATATGTGTCGATTAACAATTCCGTGCGAAACTTTGAAGTTAAATTATTTGCTGTTTCAAGATTGTTACTACTCAACTAAAGAACGATAGATGATGTGCAGCTCGCTTAAAAATTAGCTGGGCTAACTGAGTGATTGGTTTCTACAACCAAAATAACCAAGTGAACAGCTTTTATTTTCGTTTTTTGTTTCGTTTAGTTTTTTGTTTAATATTGATTGTTTTTAAAAGTTTTTTAGATCATATTTTTTGCCCAACAGGAAAATAAATAAAATCAAAGTCATTTTGTTTTGACTAAGACAATTTAAAAGAGTAGCACAATGTCTTTTTTTTCACACAGAAACAAATTTAATTTCTTTTTGTGGGCTATTGGGTGGATAATGTT